CTCTTTTCAGACAACCATAATCAGGAAGTGCATACTCACAGGAAGGTAAAATGAGTAGTAGGCGGTCTTGTACAGCACAATTCGCCGGTGTCTGCATATATTTCCAACAAATTCAAAGTTACCAAACAATTTAGAATTGGAAAATAAACCAACAAAGTTATGGAGGCTTCTGTGAGTTTTACCTAAATAGAAATTACTAGATAAGTGAATTAAGAGCTAGTTGCATGCTTAGATTTAAAGGTTTCAATAAATTTTAACACGTCAAATGACCACAAGAATTATACCAAAATCAACTACTTTTGCATCCTCAAGACCTATTTTCCATTGGTGGATCAGGATGAAAACAGATTTATATCCTGCTACAAGCAACAGTGAACTAGAATAATAATGAGAAAAATATAGAATTGTCTATGCTCATGATAGATGCGAGCTGCTTTGTCATGCAATCCTACCTACACATGAGGGTTTTCTCGACGGAATTTCTCATGGGTTGGTCATTTGTCTAACTATGCAGAGACCAGTAACTTTCGGGGTTAGAATATGCTTTCACTTACAGAGACAAGGTGTACTTGGACAAGTCCTTTTCTCCTTCGAGTGTTGTAATCAAATCTATCATCTGTCCAGAGGCTGTTTGAAACTCAACCTGCATAGGAACGGCATATACAAAATGTCAGCACATTTCAATATCCCAAAGTACTTAAGAAAAATGTGGGAAATCAATTACCTCATTGAACAAGTCGAGGAGATCTACATAGTATGCCTTATCTCTAAAGTGGTTTTTGAGAATTCTAGGGATGTGATTGCGAAGCAGAACCCCATCATTTGTTGCAATAAGACCAACCTACAAAACAGTCTATCAAAGTCAATTTTACTAGCAACGGAAACCAAAATGATAGTGGTAAACAACATGCTCATTGTACCAACCTTGGGCAACCTAAACCAGCAGGGTTGACCACGCCTTGTATGGGAACTATCCATAATGTCATCAAGAACAAGAAAATATGCTTGAAGCTGCAAACATTAACGTTAAACACCATAAGTTGATTGTGAACTAGCAGAAATATTATCTAATGAACCAAATAAAAAGGTGAGAAGAGTACAGTTTTCAATAGTCATACCCATTCAATACACCAACCAAGAGCACTTGTGAGAAAGATTTCATCTTCCGTTAATTCCTTTCCTTCTTTCAAGTATTTGTAGCTGTCAATCACAGATAGTCCTCGATTCAGCTTCCCTGGAAAACAAATTGTGATGGTTGATTTAATGTTTCAATTGCAACCTCCAAGGCTGATAATTAATCACAAATATTTAACTTCTTTGTTATGGTTGATTTAATGATTCAATTCCTACCTCCAGGCACATTGTAGTCCAACATCTGCAACATAGAAATGAATATAAAAATTAGGAAAAAAACCAAAAGTCAATCAGCATAAATCCTAAGCTCAGACATATTAATTTAACAAAATCCGGAGACAAAATATCCATCCCAAATTCGCAAACAAGAAAAGCTAAGTTGGCTTCGATACAATTTATAAACCCATCTCTCGAAAGTGCTGTTTGGGTTGCTTTCTGGATCATTAAGCCTGCTAATTATGCCCAAGATTTTCCCAATGCAGTACTTGGAGCATGCAGATGCAGAACAAGGGAACCATGTGGTGCTAGAAAGAATTCAAGATAACGAATATGCAAGACAAGGTAGAGCTCAGGGATAGCTTTTTCTTATATCCTAATTTAAAGCTGTATTGATTGGACCACTTCTGTTGATTTCAACTCTCTTCATACTTCATTTAAACACACAGAACAAAGATTGATGAGGGACTACTTATTTTGACATGATTTCCCAAAGACCCCATCTTTAAATCAAGATCTTGTTCACTGTCTGGCCATAGCAATTTTATTCTTTACACGGTCAACAAAGATCCTCATGTTTCTCGCTCTACTCAAATTCTTATCCATATAGTGCATCAAAATCATTCTGGGTTCTTACACAAAACAAACAAACAAACCCATAAAACAGCATTTCCAACCTCAGGATTCATAATCGCATTTCCATTACCAATCAAATCAAGCAAAAACACACGCACCCCAAGACCAATAAAACACAAAGATCGAAACTTTTCACTAACTGATGCAAAGAAAACCAAGAAAAGGCCAAAAAGGGAGTACCCTCTCAACCCAATCACGAGAATCAGGACTCCATTCGAAAGCAGGATCCTCAAGAAGCTCTTTCTTGAGAACAGAGTAGACATTCAAGAACGTTGACTTCAGATCTGCCATGGCTACTGACTTCTGGTCGTAGGTGTTAGAGGAGACACACACAAGAAAAGAGGATTGTGGTGAAGATGGTAAAGTTAGAATGGCCCCTCCTTCCTTATATGGAGGAGGAGGAGATGATGTTGTCTACTATATATTCCTGTTCTTGTTGCCTTTAGTGATGGCCCCGTTTTTTATTTGCATAAAAGGGGAGTAAAAATGAGAGAATAAGTGGAGAGGGTCTTCTTCTTGTTTGAATTCTTAGGTGTTCCCATGGAAGGAATTACTTTAATTTGTTTTGATGAAAATTGAGGGATTTTGGATTATATGACAGCAGCATCTAACATGCCGAAAGCCCATTTATTGAAATTGCTCAAAATATCTCTAGCTTGTGGAATCCATTTTTTAGTTCGGGATTCTTTTTATTACCGCCAAGAAACAATCGATTTGCGAGGCATCCATTGATTCCATTACCATGAGTGGATTGGCCTTTGCTCGGAGCAAGTAAGGAATTTAAAGAAATGTAGATTTGGAGTGAATTGCACATTTTTATTTCACGCCTGCGGAATCGCAAAACTACAATCAATCAATGTATTAATATGTATACTTGGAAACTGATCTTGGTGTGATCAAATTTACAAAAATACCTTGCACGTTAGCATCATACTCTAAATGCGTATTAATATTGCGAGTATCACGTGCGGAGTCAGGAGTTTGAATGGACCACCTACCTTCCATTTTTTTAAATTGATTAAAAAAAAAAAAAAAAAAACAAATGCTAAGAGGTTTCTTCAACGCATGAGATTTTGGATCGTCAACAAAAAGATCTTTAATTTATCCCTCTGTAAACTTGGGCGTTTGAAAGGACAAGAAGGGGTCCCATTCCATTTGTTTTAAACCTGATAACAAATATTTTTCTAACAGGCTATAAAATATATTTTTGTTAGAAGTTTAAAATCTATATTTTTTTTTTGGAATCAATATTTTTTTTATATCTCATTAATGCTTCATAACTACAATATTTGTATTGATTCTTATTTTAGGATAATCAATATATATTATAAGATTAATTATGTTATTATGTTGTGTAAAAATTTATTTTGTTTGTATAAATAAAAAATTTATATGTAAATTTGAGCTTATATAAATATGAAACTCTTGTGAATTTAAAAATTAAGTCAAAATTATATATAATTTTTGGTTTTAAGTTTTTTAAAAAAAAAAAAACATTGAAAGTGACAAATATATATATATATATATATATATATATATATATATAATCATCCAAATCAAACAATAAATAGCGAAGAATTGGAATCATTGTATATAATTGACAAACTTAAAACGTTACGATTCATGTGTAAAATATTCTTAGAATGTCTTGCATGCAATGTTTGAATATAATGTCTTAATCAATTATTTTGTCTCATGCATCAAGCTTTTATTTATTTTTCTTTGGATGAGAAAAATGAAGAAGTTTGTGCTACATTGCGTGCTCTTATTTCAAAACAGAAAAAAAAACAATATAAATATGATGGATATGTGTTTAGTTGAAAGTGTAAAAATAAAAATATAAAATAAATTTGTTTATAAGATGAACTTAAAGTGAATATTTATTTTTTCAAAACAAGAAACATAGAAAAGATTTGTTCATTCTATTTTTATTATTTTTAACCAAACATAAATTATCAAGTTATTATGATTATTATTTAAAAAATTGATTTTTTCTGATAGGTTGGCTTGTGATCTAAAATCTACATTAAGCTAAGTTTCAATAATATTAACAATAATAAAAAAAGAATTTACATATGTAATCTAATAAAAAATTTAAGGTGATTGTCAACCTAGAAAAAATTAGGTTAAAATCCATTAAACTTTTCTCGTTGTTTTTTTTCTTCAAAATAAAGTTATTTTTACTATTTAATAAAATAAAAATTTTAGATTAATTTGTATTAATTAATTATCTGTCTAAATCAACTATCGAGTTAAAGTTTAAAAACTATAACCAGGATCAAATAATAGAAAGGATATTCTTGTAATTTATCCATGGAACTAATTATACAATCAAAATCTTTGAAAAAATCATCGAAGACTACATCACATGCGATTTACATTCTCCCTATTGTTTTTCATTACTTCCATGAGAATCACACCTGCAAGGTGCCAACCTCACACGGACTATCCAGATTTTGCCACCAAGCACACAAAAACTTGCCTCTCTGGTCTCTGAAGCTCTGATCAGATGCTTCCAACCCTGTTTTGCATTTGTATTCCCATGAAGTACTAGCCGCAAATGATCACAAAATCCATTCAAATTGGAGTCAATTTACTGTGGTCAAATGGCAAGAGATCCAATGCACCAAACGGGACGGCATTAGCACGGAGCAAGTCGCAAGCACACAAGTTAGACATAAATAAACTTGTGAAAAGCCACCATTGTTGAAAAGGACCAGCATTTGAGTTGCAATGGCATTTAAGATAAGTCCAAATTGCCTATTCAATGACATTGGTGGATCTCTCCTAGGAGGATGAGCCGTCAGGGTGGAAATTTGGAGTGTGACAGCATGACATCTGACTCGAGCTAGGCTAATAGCAGTTGCTAATAAATCTGAGCGGAGGGCTGGTAAGGACTGCAAAATGCTTCAAGGCTGACAAAGTCTGCAGTCAGTAATCAGAACCAGCCTTTTGACTGTTATAAAATTAGCGTCTTTTTGGCATCCCCGTCCATGACAAGGAGGATGTCTAGCTCCTTTTTTATTCCTTGGTTCGGTCTACAAGGTATTGGATCTGGGCTAACATTTTGGGGCAATAAGATGTCTAAAATATCTGGGCTAATGGCCATATTCTTTGTGGCTTGAACCACATGAATGCTTCACTTCCATTATCCAACCACTTCTTGCCAATTGTCGAAATTCCACAAGGCCATAACCCCTTCAAAAGTTCGGAGCACAAAAGTGACTTCTAACATCCCAACAGCATCACATTCCAAAGCTGCAAAAATTTGCTCCTGTTCTGTTCTGTTCTGTTGCTGCAACATCTAGAGAATGAACACTGCAAAAAGAGCTGCTCAGCTTCTCTCAACTCAGAACATTAGGTCCTTCTTAGACTCTGCTGAGGCCTTTCTCTTTGATTTGATGGTAAAGTCCTTTTCTTTCCAATAAAAAAATTGTTTGTTTTAGCTAGTGATGGTGAATTATGATATCAGATTTTGTCCTGAATGGTAAATTTGTTTGATTAATAATATGTGTAGGTGTGATTTGGAAAGGAGACAAACTCATTGATGGGGTCTCTCAAACAATGGACTTCCTTCGTTCTAAGGGAAAAAAAACACTTGTTTTTGTGATAAATAATTCATTAAATTCAAGAATGCAATGTGCCAAGAAGTTCCATTCACTTTGGATTTCGGTTGATGAGGTCTGTTTCTATGGCATTTCAATGGAACTATAATTCCCTTTTTATGTTTTTAAGCTCTTTCTTGCTGTGTGTTTGAATTGTGGACATTTCCGAATATTCCCTTTCTTGGGCAGGCCTTTATCACTTGTCAACCTCCACTGTCTTACAGCGTAACACTAATTTTTGAAATCGAGTAGAGACTTCATGTTAGATCACAGCTCAGTGGTCTTTTAAACACCAGTTTCATCATTCAAGTGCCTTCTACCTATTGTCTCAAACAGTGAGGTTCCTTAAAAATGGTGACATAGTTTTTGCACCATCTATAAAATCTTGAAGGCAGCGTCCAGTTGGAAGGAGGCTTACCTTTTCTCCTCGTAGATGCTTCACTTACAACACTTTTGTCCTGTACAATGATCTATCCATTTCCACTGCAGCTGTTCATCTTCTTTTACAACATGGAAGCATTAGCTATCTTGTCTTTGCTTTTACCTGTATCTTACATTTGGTCTTAAAGGGAGCGGACGTTTTCTACCATGTTTTTTATTTAACAATAACAACAATTTACCATACGCTCTTGTTTTACACAATATTGTGGCACCAATTTATTGCAGGAAGATGGTGAAAAGAGAATAGGGCTGGATCAAATTCCCTCTATGAACATGATAAGAATGTAAAGTAGCAACTTGGCTGCAATTTCTTCGAGCTTCACTTGTCTATTTAGTTCTGTTTTCCTGTTTGAGGCTTGTAATGGTGCAACTCCGGCCTCTGGTTGGTGTACTTGTGGTTGGAATAGATCCGCGCATCAACTGTTACAAGCTTCAGTAAGAGTTTCTAAATCCTACGTTACCTCTTCTACCGTGTTAAGTCTGCTGTATTTTGATTCCGTCATGTTGTTATGAGATTTTGAGCAAGATACTATTTGAAATCGATTTTTTAAGGCAACAACAGAGCATAAGTTCACTTGTCAGCTTCTCTAAGATTCAAGGATGAAAAGATTTCCTGCCAATTAAACACTAGCTGAGCGGCCAAGGCATGGTTAGGTCTTAGTTAGATATTTCCTTTGTCGATGCAAAATCCGTCGAATCGACATTGATCCCCAATTTGATTCCACAAGACATCTCATAGCAGGGGCTGTAATATAATAATAATAATAATAATAATAATTAAGAGCTACATGCTTCTTGTTTCAAGTTAAATATTGAATCGACAGGTATGGAACCTTATGCATGCGTGAGAAACCAGGTTGCATTTTTATTGCTACGAATCGTGATCCAGTGGGACGTAAGACTGATTTATAAGAGTGGCCTGGCAAGTAATTAGATCTTATATTAGAACAAGACCTTTCACCAGGCAGTTTCACCTCTTTAACTTCGCTTCTTGGTTTCAGGTGCAGGTTGTATGGTTGCTGCCACATGCGGTTCAACAGAGAGAGGGCCTATTACAGTTGGAAATGCTCAAGTCTCAAAAACACAACAATTGGTCATTTCATACTGACATCATCACTAACCTTTGACAACTTATATTCTCACAGGAGACTGTTTGTAGATTAAATATTTAATGTCCTGTGTTTTGCAGCTTTCTCATCGGCACCTCCAAAATGTGCATGGTGGGTGATAAACAAGATGCTGATATTTTATTTGGACAAAATGCTGCCTACAGAACTCTCCTTGTTCTTTCAGATAGACTGATTTCTCTTGTTTTTGAATTCCCTCTTACCCTGAAATAGAATGTTAACTCAAAGCACACGATGCTGAAAAACTTGCAGGTGTAGCAACAAAAACTACTCTTCAAGATCCATCAAACAATGTCCAGCCAGATTATTATACAAGTAAGGTGTCTGACCTATCTGATTCACTGGTACCATAACCTCATTACATGCCTTTCGGTCATTCTCGTAGGCCTTTGACAGTGCTGGTAGTGGATTCCTGTTAAAAATCTCAGGGATTGTTGGGCATTTTTACAGGTATTGTCTTACCTTCGATGCCATAATTCTCAGAATTTGAGAACAATCATAATGGTATCATCTTTCTGCTTGATTGCTTCCTGCTTGCAAAGCTATCTGACAGAAACACTAATAAATGTTCATTCCAAGAACTCGCAAGTTCTTAATTACAATCTTCACATCGGAGGAAAGTTTACCATAGTGAAACAGACCAGTAAGCTAACAACTAGCCACTTGCATAGTCGCATTTTTTGCTCATTGTTCATCGTCTATGCCTCTGTTTCTAGCAGTGTCCTGAGAACTACTGCACGATAGAATTGATTTTTTACGACACCTTTAAAAGTAGCATTTGAGAATGTTAATTAACACAGGAATTTCAAGTCATTGCTAGTTTGCGTTGGGATGTCGATTTCTGAAATTCGTCAAAATTTTTGCATCTAAGATCACCCAAAGCAAGGAAGAAGTTTGTTTAGGCTACAGTTTCAAAGCATGAGAGTTTATCCAAAAAAGAGATCATGGCAAGGCTTCATTAACCTCAGAGAATACTCATGTTTCTTGGATTTTTATCTATCTATCTGTGTATCAACCCTCAATCCCAGCCTAAGATGCAAGATTATGTTCATATGATAGGCAAAACTGATCAATGGTTTCCATAAAAGGAATTTATTATAGATTGCTTCATCATGTAGCTGGAAATTAATTGTCCCGAGTACAAATAAGAGCGAGCTTCATACATGTGCTCTTAAGGTTAAGGGAAGGCGGAAATCAAGAAGGGGAGGAAAAGGAATAAAAAACACTTAGGTTTCTTATGAAGGATGAACCTTTTTAGCTGAAAGTCCCTTCCAAGCTGTATTCATGGAAGCAGAAGCAGAATTAAGTGCAGCCTCCATGTACTTCGTAGAAGCAACAGTTGCAGCTTTCTCCATTAGATTTCCCATGTTTCTAGCACTCTCAGCAGTCTTTTCTAAACTTTCCAGTTCATTCCTTGCCATGCGTTCCATTTCCACTTCAAACCTCCTAAATTCATCTATGGCATCTTCCATGACTGTATCAAGATAATCCTCAGCTTGTTGCATAGCCACTTCAGCTTGTTTGACTTCCATTTCTTGTTCAAGTTCCATTGCTGCCCATGAGTTGTATGCTTCTGTCTCAAAGAGTTTCATAAGGTTATCAATGGAGGAGGGATCGAAGTTTTTGTCTTGGCAAGCTTGGTTGGAGAGCAAGGTGAATTGGGAGAGGAGAGCTTCCATGTTTTGTTACTGTAACGCCTGAAAATATGAAAAATGATGCAGATCTAGCTACCAAAATAGCAAACCTTCCTTTAAGGTACATTACCAAAAAGTTTGCCCTAGTGGGTGGGGAATCTTGGAATCCTTTGAGCCCCTAATGCTTATTTCTTAGTTTCAAGCAATCAATCCTGACCATCCATTAAGTTCCTTTGAACTTTCATGGTTAGATTCTTAACGTTCAGAGATCCATTCCAAGTTTCGAAAGTAGAATGATCTTTTTCCTTTGTGCACGGGGTAGGGTTACAGCAATGGATGACTTTTCTTATCTCATAATCCTTGTGTAGTGGACATAGGGTCCCCCTGCCAGCTTCACATCGTCAAAGAATCATCAATTTTCTTGTCCTTTCTTGTACTCCATGGCAAAGCAAACTTTATATATATATATATATATATAAAACAACAACAACAACAACTTCATTAACTTGATTATTGAATTTGAAGGGTAACTTAGTAAGATATGAGAACAACAACAACAACAACAACTTGATTAACTTGATTATTGAATTTGAAGGGTAACTTAGTAAGATATGAGAAATTTAGGAAGCAGAATTGGGATCGAATAATTTGTTGGGATGTGCCACAAATACTAGAAAATTGATACAAAAAAAATATTGCTCAATGTTAATCATGGTTATTAAACAGATTAGTTCCGTACTTTAATGATTCGAGATCTAGTTTAGACTGAATTTAATTTGAATTGCTTGGAAAACTAATATGATTAAACTGGTGACTCAACAAGTAAACTTAATTACTTTCTGCTTAATTATCTTGTGTGTGTAATTAAAGAGAAGAAACTGCATAGCTATCGGCACTTTGCATCAAAGATGACGGTGCTGGTGGAAGCAAAGGTGGCAGCCCAGTGAAAGGTGATGCCCCCGCTAGAGTTGGAAGCCCTGGAAATAATATTGAACGCAACGGTGGCAGTACTACTACTATTATACGCAATGGTGGAAGAGGCGTTGGAGGCATTGGTACCAGCATCGTTCCTGATGGAGAAGAATGTACCATTTCGAAATTATGTTCAAAGCGGTGGTGGAGAACAGAACTACCATTGGAAAAGAATCATTCTTCTTCGCTGGAGAATAAGCCAGCACTCGGGGGTTCCAAGGCGTGTGAGACCGAACTGGAAAGATAGGCGGTGGCGATGGAAGTGATGAATGCAGTGGATGTGGTGGTCGTCATGGTGGGATTCGAGGGAAAGGGTGATGATTATCAATGATGGGAAATACGAGCAGTGAAATATATTTAATTTCATAAAACATTTTTTTGTTTTGTGCTCTGGCCCATCACAAACTTCTAGAAATATGACATTAGAGTAGTTTTTTAAGTTACAGCAACTGATGAAGTTAGATTAGATAATTTAGGTGCCTTGATGGTAATGTCAGTAGCAGCAACAGGTGGTGTTAGAGCTGGAAATATTTTAACATCACTGGATCCACATTGGCTCTTGTACTAATGGGAATTAAGTTACAATTTTATTATTTATCAAAGGTCATGATCATTAACCTTAACCCCAGTGTAGATGCTGATAAACGAACCTGTCATTGAAAAACAGGACACCCCTCCACCTGAATGCCAGGGGCGGTAGGACAAGTTGCCAAGGGACAATGATCACAAACCTCCAAGCCCCACCAGGTTGGTCCATTAATGTTCTTCAACTCTAATGTAAAAAAGAGGAGAATTGCTAAGAAAGCAACTCCAGCATCTAATCCTGCTGATAGGATGTAGTTCTGCCTAACCCACCATCCTCTATATCTGTTGTAGACAACCAAGTTGAAGAAAATGCCTACAGCATACCAGCACATGTAGTTCACAGCCTTGACTGCTGGCATACCTCCTGTGCCGCTTAAGATAATAGGCACATTAACGTACTTGATCCATGTCTTTTCGGGGAACTTGAGGGAGAGTATCCACACTGGCACTGGTGCAAGAAATCCAATGAGAAAGAAATAGTTCATCTTAGAGTACAAGCCAAGACGTCCAAACATTCGCATCATCTCCCGGGCATGTCCATGGGCTTCCTACTGGCAGTTTTGATGGATGGCATATGTTTTCCACCGAGGTAAGGAGCCACCAACCCGTGCCGAATTAGACTGAAGATGAAATTATAGTCCCTATTAGCTGTTACAGACATAAACCAACATTAGTTTTAATTCTAATGTCGGCTTCAAAGTTAATATATCAGGTTATCATGAGACAATGTGTCCAATTTGATTTTAAATTTATACCTGGACAACAAACATGGACTTGGGGGGAATTTTCATGTAATGTCCCAGCTTGAAGTCTGAGAGGAAAAAGATTGCTTGAAACAAGCTAAAGGTGCCATAGGTCTTGAAAGCAACATTTGCAAGGGGCTTCCCCGGATACATGTAACCGATTATTAGCTCAGTGAGAATGTTGATTCCCGGGACCTGCACAACCATTTTGACATCAATATAGGCTCAAGTAACACAAACAGGTTGGAAACTTAGTCTTCCAGGATCATACCTGGTTTGTAGTTGCTGCAAGAACACCAACTGGAAGGGTGAACATGAGAGTCAAGCCAGTCGCCAGTAGGACACCCCAGTAAGGAAGTTGTAACTGTCTACCAAAGCCTTCACAAGTAAGCAAGGCTAATCCATAAACTACAATCAAGAGTGAATAAAACCACCATTGAGGGACAGCTTCATAATTTTTCTTCATTATTCTACTGTGGACATCAGCGTACTTGTCTTGATATGCTGTTTTTGATTGATGCCAAATTTCTCTGCAAACAGAAAGATAGGCTAATCAGACATAATAATAGGTTATCTGTTGATGGAATGCAGATTAGCATCATCAAAAAACTAAGAATCTGTTGATAAATACCTTCCATGGAAAAGTGCCACATGAGTTAAGGCAGCAGCCAATATAGCAAAGCTAATACCGTAGGTGTAAACGAAGAAGATACTTAGGTTGACTTTGCTGTAGCCATCATATCCTGGTTTACTTAATTCAAGGGTTGTCTCATTTAGAACTCTTGAAACATCGTAGGGTTGTCCACTAGCATCGAAAACATGTGAAGAGAAAATGGGAAAACGTTTGGCACCATATGAGTTGGTCCAGTAAGCTATGGGGATTACGATGTAGAGAATTATGATATAGCCAAATAAATTGTTGATAATAGCAAATCCTCGAGTGGCCAAGGGAGATCCTAGGAAACCAGCTATGGTAGACCGATCGATGGCGAAAGAGCCAACGCCTAGGCCATGAAGACCTGAGCCAACTTGTTGGGCAGTGACTGAATCCTTCCATATCCAACAGGCAATGGAAAGAGCAGTCATAGATTGGAAGAGATAGCCGGGGACTATATAGTATGCGAAGCTTGATACAAGGACCACGAGGAAGAACTGCAGCCTCGTTAGGCCTCCCTTACGCCTGATCTCAACTTCATGCAATGCCCTGGAGGATTCGAAAGAAAAACGAATTAGAGAAGAGAAAAGAGGAGATACTTATCATAAACTGATAGAAAATGGGGTTGCAGGAGACACCTGAAGAGGGAAACTTGAACCAGAATGGAAGGCCACCACATGTAAGGGGAATCAACAAGGAACTTCCTGAAAAGTCCAGCCCATCCATATCCTAACAACTGAATGTTTCAACAAAATTGGAAGTAAGCATGTTTTATTAAGCATATTGAAGAAAGAGCAAAGCATTAATCAATACTCCCCAAGTCATCACCTGCATTTTATTTTCACCTCAAGAAAAAAATTGCTGTGGAGTTTAGGAGAGGTTCATCTGAGTCGTCTGCGTTAACAACATAGCTGGTACTGTTAGGAAATTCCGACCGGTGATGTACTGATATTTGCTCATAGGAGGGCCAAGCACACTGACACAATATTTACGTGGTTCGACAAAACCGCCTACATCCACGGGAGAGAGTCTATATTATTAGAGATTAGAGAAAGAATACAAAACAAATACATGGAGGAGAAAGATCATTTCTCTCTACTCTACTTCCAGCTCTCTTTGCTGCACTTGCAGTTGCTGCCATTGCAGCTCTCTTTTTCTCTCTACTTTCTTCACATGCTCACAATCCTTGCTGCCATTGCAGCTCTTTCTTTCTCTCTACTTTCTTCACATGCTCACAATCCTCTTCTCCCTCTCTCATTTTGCTCTCTCACATATGCCTCTATTTATAGGCATTTATGGAGGCTCTTTTTCAACAAAAGTGGCTGCCAACTCCAGCTCTTCTTCAACAATGGTGGCTGTCAACTTTTGACATCTTGGATGGGTGCACATGGTTGGTGCAACTCCAGCTGCAGTTGCTGCAATAGTTAATGGTTGTTGCACATTAATGGCAACTAACCTAACAGGTACTGCATCTATATGACCATGATAAAATGCCTTCACGATGGTGACAATAGCCACCGCAGCAGCCGGACTTGATCCAGAATTTGCAAATATGGTGATCAGAACATGTTCTTTTAAGTTGAAAGGCCCTGGATTCAATGAAAGTGCCCATTTAGTTCGGGGAAACCGAATAAATTTGCTCGGTAAAACTGATTCCATAAGCCTTCCTATTGGCAGTACAGCAATCTGAGCTGAAACTGATGTTACATAGAGTATATTTTGACGGTAACCAAAGAACTGATTCACAAATGCTAGAAGAGCACAACATGTGATCCCCAAAACCCATGTTCGAAATGTCAAGCATGGTAATGTTGGATCATCTGTAATCGGCACTGTCAGCTTGACTTGCTCGATTAGTGAATCGTTTACCTCTTCTGCAGAAAATCATGTTTTAACAAAGACAAAAGGAGTCAGCAATCGTTGATTAGCGACGATAGTTATTAGATAGTGAAATTATTAGAGTCATGGATTGCTAAATTTTGTTAAATAATTATTAACGATGCACAACAACAATAGCCATTTTAAATAATATAAAATTATTTTTAAATCTTTATTTAACGACTTAAGCTTTTAAATTTATATGATTGTTTGATAAAATATTAAAATTTTATTAATAATATCATTAAACTTTTAAATTTCACTATCTTCATAAGGCTTTATTTAATAATTTAATATTTTGGATTGAGATGCTTTTTAAATTTATGGTATGATTA